CGCTTCCGGCCGCCCGGCCGCGGCCTACGTCCGCGCATGGGCTACGTCCGCCCCGCCCCGCCCCGTCCCCTCTCCGCCCCCTGATGGGCCTGCTCTCCACCACCAACATCAGAAGTTGGAGGGGGGAAAGGAGGAGGAGGAGGAGGAGGAGGAGGAGGAGGAGGAGGAGGAGGAGGAGGAGGAGCGTCACGATGACTCAGGGCGCCTGGGTGAGCCTTCATGGGGGCCTCCGTGGACCTCCGCGGCTCAACATACAAACGTGCTTTTGGCCAACTTTCGCCCAAATTTCGGCCACCCCTCTTAACCCTTTCGTCCAACTGTCTTCCAAATGTCGTCAAGATGTGGGCCAAACCCGGCGACATCTGGACGAAATCCCTCAAACCGCAAGGAACTGTGGGACCCTCAGGGGGCTCAACACATGGGCGCTGGTGTCGGACACCGCGCGGACCGCTCAATTTTTCCCCCAACCCTCCCGTGTTGGTTTCTCGCTTTGAATGAAACGCTGAGGTATCCACTCCTTCTTCTTCTCCCCCCTCCTCCTGCCTCCTCCTGCGCTACGCACTGGGGGGCTTCGAACTGCGCAACTGCCGCCTCGTTCGAGGGACCTCGCTGCTCTCCGAGAGGCTGCGAGCTGCGCCTGTCGCCATTTTCGTGGGCTCCTGGGAGGCCCAGCGGAGTCGGGGGCTACGCGGACCCATTTGGGACCGCGCTGCTTCCTGGGTGGCTGCGAAATGTTCAACTGTCACCACTTTCGTAGGCTCCTGGGAGGTCCAGCGGAGTGGGGTACCACGTGGATTCATTGGGGACCTCGCGGCTCTCTGGGTGGCTGCGGACTGTGCAACTGTCGCCACTTTCGTGGGCTCTTGGGAGACACGGCAGAGATGAGGGCAGCGTAGATTACGTATGAATATCTGGCGATGCGTTCCTTTGTATGGAGCGTTCATACAAATACTTGCCTCGCGGGGGGGAAATGGTTGGGTACGTCTTGCGCGCCGCTGCAAATCTGGAATCCGGAGAAAGTAGTGACATGGCTCACGCTCGGCTGTCATGCATCTGATATGCTCGTGGCCTTCAGATCCGAATTTTGGAGAACGGCCAAGGAACTACACGCACCCACCTGCGATACAACATGTTCAAAGTCCGTTGCGCACGATCGCAACCATAAACACATGCCGACTAGCAGCAATGCTCGCATTGCAGATCAGCATGCGTCACCCTCTATGTCAGGTCGCTGGATTTTCCCCCAACGTGCCGCGACTCCCAACTTGGCGCTGCACGCATGCACTAAGTTTAGTAGTCGGCATCGGAATAGCCACCGCCCGAGTAGCCACCGTCGGAGTAGCCACCACCGTAGCCACCACCACCCCAATCGCAGCCGTCGGAGTAGCAACCCGTATCGACATGGTCACCACTAGAACAACCACCACTGGGGTACTCGTAAGTGTCCCCATCTGGCGATGTGTAAATAGCACCTCCGTCAGCATCGCGGACATAGCTCGAGCCATCCTGGTTGTCATAGCGGTAAGAACCATCGCTGTAGCTCTCGTAATGATTACCCTGAGCATTGTAACCGCTGTGCTCAGGGTATCCGTAAGTGTCTCCATGCGGCGAGGTATAGACAGCACCTCCGCGGGCGTCGTGGACATAGCTAGAGCCATCATGGCTGCCATAGCGGTAACCGCAATTGTTGTAGCTCGCGTAACGATTACCCTTATCGTTGTATCCGCTTCGGTCCAAAGCGGGGCCTTCGAACTGAGACGCGACCACATTTCTCGAGCAATCTTGAGATGAATGCCGCGGCGCCGCTGACTTGATGTGCGCGTGGCCCCAGCCGATACTGTCGTGGGTCGATGCCGAGATGGCACGTTCTGGCGTCTGTGCGTCGCCTGGCATGTACCGATGCCCTTGTGCAATATCAGGCGGGGGCACGTATCGGTGTCCTTGCGGAACCGTGTCCTTGCCGACAGTCCCGAACTTGGTGGGATACTTAGTCAAATCGATGCCCTGGGGATGAACGAGGATCTGTCCATGCTGTGTGCTCCCATGCCCAGGGTACTGCTGAAGCTCGCTCGCAGGCACCTCGCACCGCAACCAGCGGTCCGTCTTGCCGTTGCGGATCGCCTGCTCCCAACCACTGTCCCAATTGTTCTCCGCAATAGCCTTCCCGCACGTGGAAGGAGGCAGGTTGGTGCCGTAGCTGCCTGGCCCCTCTCGAGCGTCACCTCTGTTGGGATCAGATGGCTGAATACGTCCGTCGCGCAGTATGCCCTCGAGTCCCCTCTCGGAGGTGTAGTGGTAATACGGAACGCGCCTCTCAACCGGCATTGGGCCCTTCGGTGGCCCGCGCTTGCGTGAGGACACCGCGGCTTCGGTCTCAGCTGTCTAGCAGCGCGTGCCCTGGAGCCAACAAACACAGCATGAACCAAACTGGCTAATGGACGCGGACCGCTCGTCCTTGAACGATCGCGGCCTTCCGATAGAACATCTGGTTCGCTGTCCGCCACTTCGGGGCCACTGGCGGCGTTCAACCGTGAACGCCCGCGCTGGGGTCGCCGCTGCGCCAATAGAACAAGGACACCAATCTAATTACACAAGGCGTCGATGTCGGCGACGACGACGACGTCTGCGACGACGACTACTACGACGATGACGTAATCATGCGGAGATCCGCTCCGGAGTCTCCTTCAGGGGGGTGGGCCCGGCGCTGACCTGAGACGTCTGCGCGGACCTCCGACAATTCGTGCTCAGGTCTTGAGTGGAGCCGAGAGGGGGGGAGTCGGCCACTGGGGTCGTCGATCTACCGCCGATAGATCGGCGATAGCTCGCCGACCTGGACCTCTCGCCGATCGATCGTCCAGGTCCTCTCGCCGATAGATCGGCCAGAGCACCCGGAATCGACGATCTGTCGCCGACAGATCTAGGGGAACAAGAAGTGACATAACCACAAAAACTCGGAGGTCCGCGCGGATTTCTCGGATCGGCGCTGGGGCCCCCCCGCGGCGCCTCCAGCGCCGCCCCTGGCGCTCTCCACGCGCCAGGGGGGCGGGTCCAGCGCGGATCCAGGGGGGGGGGCGGGTCCAGCGCGGACCTCCGAGTTTTTATGTTTATGCCAGTTTTCGTCCCCCTAAGATCGGCGATGGGCCCCCGCTGGGGGACCACCACGTCGCGTCGGCACCGATCGGCGAGGACTGGGCGGGCGGGGGCCGGTGCTGACCGCACGGAGCCAGTCTGCCCCCCGCCGTGCCGGCGCCCCGGAGGCTGGCGGGCTGCGAGCCAGCGCGGCGCAAGCCTGCGTGCCCCGCAGGCCGACGAGGCCCATGGGGGCACACGAACGAACCGACACGACCCGCGGGGTTTCAGGTCTCTCCCCATCTGTTTCCCTGTCCTGCGCATGCCCCTGCTGCTTTCCCACAGATAGCGTCAATCAGACTCCAGACCACGACTTTCAAGGGGCCATGGGGCACACAAGTAAATACACGCACTAGTGAAAGGATTCCCCGTATTTTCCTGTATGTTCTGGGGGTTCTGTCTTCCCCCCCACTTCCCATATTTTCCTACATTGTCTGGGGAATCGACGATAACTGTGTCTCTGTGTGTTTTTTCCCCTCCTGACTGTTTCCCTGTCCTCTCTTGACCGGAAGGGGCCCGCTCCCGAAGCGCCGACCAAAAGTTTCCCTGTCCTGCGCAGGCCCCTGCTGCTTTCTTTTTGCCGTAGATCGCGTCAGTCAAACTCCAGACCGCGGCTTGGCTCCCCGGACCGCGACTTGGCAAAAGACTGCCCAGACCGCGACCTGGCAAGACTCTGGGCTGAGCGGGACGTGGCTTGACTTGGGATGTGTACTGCGGCTTGGCTCCCACTTCCCATATTTCCCCATATTTTCTGGGGAATCGACGATTACTTGTGTCTGTGCGTTTTTTCCTCTCCTGAGATTTGGCTCCCCGGACCGCGACTTGGCAAGCCTTGGCTGCGCGGGGCGTGGTTGGACTTTGGCGTGTGCTACGGGGCGCGCCCTCGCCCCGCGCGTGCGTATAATGCACAGCCCGAGCACGGGGGGGAGGTCTTGCGCGTCCGCCTGGCATGCGCCGTCCAAGGCGCCGGGGACACTTGTGGGGAGACCCTTGCAATAGGGAAACAAAAAGTGACATGAACATAAAAACTCGGTGGTCCGCGCGGATTTCTCGGATCGGCGCTGGGGCCCCCCGGCGGCGTTTCCGGCGCCGCCCCTGGCGCGCTCCGCGCGCCAGGGAGGGGGGTCCAGCGCCGATCCGAGAAATCCGCGCGGACCTCCGAGTTTTTATGTTTATGTCACTTGTTGTTCCCCTATTGCAAGGCAGGTTGGCGAGAATGCCCGGGGGAGCCTGCAGGCTTGAGGCGGGAGCTGCGCGCGAGCTCAGGAAGCGCTGCCCAGGAGCTGCGCAGAAGGCTTGCGGCACACGCATCGGGAACGAGTGGAGAACGCGTCCGGGACAAGCTGCAGCTTCAAGCCACTCGCTGCGGGGATGTCTGACCAGCAGCCGCGGAGAGGTTCATGGCCTAGCCTTGCCCGTCGGCTTCTCATCTGAAACCCTCTCAGATATCCAAGGAGCTTCCTGGGAGTTCCACCGCCAAGAACTGCCGCCACCCGAAGAAACACCAGCTACGGCAGACCTGATTTTGCGATTGCGCGTCGTTTTTGCGGCTTCGGGGCCGACTCACTACCCGATTCCCCTTACCCAGGGTCTTGGCTGTATCCGAGAGGACATCAAGGTCTCCACCAGGAACTGACTTCGGAAGCTGGCGCGTGGACCACCTCAGACATAGGTTTAAGTCGGGCCTGTCCCTCTACGGGGGGGAATGTTCAAAAACAGTCAAGAAAAAGTCGGGGGACTATCCTTTGACTATTTTTGACCATTTGGGGGTATTTTTGGGGTATTTGTTATTTTTCATCCAAAATCCCTCTGTAGTAGGACAGGCCCGACTTAAACACAGGCTCTCTCTGGCTGACTGTTGCGCTGGAGGTGAGGGGCAACGTCAGCGGGGGACCAGCTCAGGGGGGGGGGTAACTGAAGGGGCCCAGGGACACACAAATACATACACACACACAAACAACAGGATTCCCCATATTTTTCCATATTTGTTTGATTTCCGTCTTCCACCCCACTTCCAAGATTTTCCCATACTTTCCTGGGGATCGACGACTCATTGTGTCTGTGTGTGTGTGTGTGTTTTTTGTTCTCCCCTCCTGAGCAACATCGACTTGAAACAGTCGGCGATGCATCGCCGACTGATCGGCGATAGGCCCCCGGCAGCAAAACACCACACGGTCCTGGGCGGGGTGGGCTATCGGGCCCCCATCGGCGATGAATGGGCGATCGGGGGTCGATGCGTCCCCCCCGAGCCTATCCCGCACAGACGTTGCACCTCCGGGAAACAAAAAGGAGGTCCGACGTTGCGAAACGAAGGCAACATCGCGAACAATCGCGACTGGAGCCCTAGACGACGCCATCTTTCCGCTGCATCTCTCGATCTGGATCGACCCGTGAGGGTCCTGGGGCCCGAGGCAAGGTAATCGCCCCTGGCGAACGACATGCAACGCCAGGATCTCAGGTTCTCCCAACACGCTGGAGGTATGTAAAAGCGGCAACCTCACTACCTCCTCCTCCTCCGCTGCCCCCCCTGACGCACCCGAATCCTGGGCCTTCGAGTTTCGTCGTTCAGTGCGGGGTCCCCAGACCCCTTCGCGGGGATTGCTTCCGCCCCGGACGGCTGCTTTTCTCGCCCAGGACGGCTGTTCACTGGCCCTGGGCCCACAGCCAGCTCCAAGCTGCCAACATGACGCGCAACATGATTTCCAAGGGCGCCTAACTTCGCGCTCCGCGCTGCGCGGCAAGCGCGAAGAACTCCGCGCCCTCGCGCCGCCCCCCACGGGGAGCAGAGGAGGATGAGGAGGATGCGGAGGACTCGGGGCCGAACCGCGAAGTGCGAAGCACCTCGCGCCCTCGAGGGCGCCCTGGCTGCTGCGGTCCTTTCCTAGGGAAGCGCTCGCATTAGGTCGGCCACGTCCCCCTACAGGCGGCTCTTGGACGAAAAAATAAGCATATTCTACAGATGCTCGAACAAGGTCAAAAAATGCTCAAAACCCGGAGTTTTTTGCTTTTTGTTTTTGTGAATTTGCTTCCTGTAGAAGGACAGGCCCGACTGAACGCTAGTAGGAAGCATCCGAATTGAGCGGGGACCGACTGTCCCGGCATTCCCATAGTCCTACCACGAAATTTTCTTAGAATCCGAAAACGTTCTAAGAACAAACGCTATCTTCTTAGAACATGAACCCGACGCGTTAAAGCAAGACGGCCCAAGCCAGAAATGTTCTAAGAACATTTCGTAGGTTCTTAGAACACTGTTTGGTAGGACTATAGGCACGCCAGGACGCTTCGCCACGGCTCGACCGAGAGGAGCCGAGGAGGGTCCTCGGCCCAGCGCAGGTGCACGAGCCGGCCGTCCGCCGCGCCGAGCAGCAGCTCGGCGCCCGCGCCCGCGCCGCCGCCGGCCGAGCACGCGAGCGACGTGACGTGGGCCGGCAGGCCGCGGGGGTCGCACCGGCACAGCTGCTCCAGGGAGCCTGGGAGCAGACCCAGACCCCCCTCCTCCTCCTCCTCCTCCTCCTCCTCCTCCTCCTCCTCCTCCTCCTCCTCCTCCTCCTCCTCCTCCTCCTCCTCTTCCTCAAGGAGGTTCGTTCGGCGGTAGACAAGCCTCCCTTTAGTAGACCACCCTTCAGTGAGAACGGCCGAGCAGGAGCCCTGGGAACGCCCTGGTCCCAGACCTCCTCGAGTACAGTCGGGGCCTTGACCTAAGGGACCCTAAGTAAAGAACGAGGCCCCCTTTTCCCAGAAGTTGAACTTCGATTCCCCGTGGAAGACCTAAGGAAAACCAAGGGCAAGCTGTAAAACAATCAAGGAACACCAACCCCCTCCCCAACGAAAAGGGTGCCTTCTTCAGCGCCCCGACTGTAATGAAGGAATCATGGCGGGAGGTTTTCCTTGCTTTTCGGCCTCCGGGGGCCCACGCCGGGCCTCGGGAGCGTCAAGGAACGGCTCGGGATGCAGAGCCGGTCATGGGGAAAGGGTCGGGACCTCTGGGGGGCGACGCAATGAAAAAATCATTACGTCGGGGGTCTGGGGACCCAGAGATTCGACCCATTGGAACGGCGGGTCTGTTTTCGGCCGCCGGGGGCCCCTCGCCGTGCCTCGTGGCGTCAAAGAACGACTCGGGATGGAAAACCGGCTAGGAAAGTGGTCCGGACCTCGGGGACAAAGTGGAGCGGCCCGATGTCTGGGGAAGGCGCTTCAGATATGCTCGCGTCGTGGAATGATGAGTTGAGACGGACGTTTCGCTTGCATGCGTGAAGGCCACGCAGAAGACACCCCCAGATACAGTCAACCCGTATAACAAGGATGTGCGATAAGGACGCAAGGTCAGGCTGCGACCCGCAGAAGCGGCCAAGGATGGGCCGACGGGAAAGG